TACAATCAAAATACTTCGAGATTGTAATTTTGAATTATTATTTTTATAGTTTATAATGATAAATGTTTGACAATTTTGTTAAACCTACGATGAAAATAGATGCACATCTATGCTTTTTCCTAATTCCTTGACAAGGTCAAATAGAACGTGACTTCACAAGAATAACGTTTAATTCGTGTCTGTTCGTGTCACAAGTGTTGGGTGGTCGATGTACTCGGATTCTGTAAATGATGTATGTTAAGTTCAGTATGATGTGAGTACTTATTTTGGTGTTAATATTCAAAACATGCAAAGTAATTTACATTAATTGTTTAATCGACGCTCATATACAATGTTCATTGTTAAACTTTAAAGGAAATGAAACAGTTTAATAAAATGTGAATCATTATTCATTTTGAGGCAGTTTGAAGGTGTATTTTAAAACCTTACAAGAAAACAACGAAGTTTTTCTATACTTTAGAAATAATGACTGAAGAACAACCAGCAACTAAGGCAGAAAATATACTTAAAGGATTCCAAGTGTATCCTTTTTTCAAAAACAACTTAAAGATGAAGTACTTAAACTATAGTACAATGTTTCCTTTAACAACAATCTAGTAATTGGATTTGTCTTCGAGATGCAGATGGAGGTAAAATTTTCTGGCAAGGCTCTGAAGATTTAAGTTTACCTGATGTAGAACATGAAGCCAGAGTTCCTAAGTCTATTTTAAAATGTCGTGCAGTTACAAGGCAGTTTAACTTCAGTTCTAAAGAAGCTATAGAAAAGTTCAGGTTAGAACAGAAAGTTCTTTTTAAAGGCAGGTGTCTTGAAGAATGGTATTTTGAATTCGGTTTTGTTATGCCAGAATCAACAAATACTTGGGAATCCATAATGGAGGCAGCTCCTGAGTCCCAAATGATGCCTGCCTCTGTCCTTAAGTAGGCATTGTCTTGTCAAAATGCTTTGCATGATATTTATATATTTTATGTTTTTAGTGGCAATGTTGTTATAGAAACGAAGTTTTACGACGATGATTTGCTCATCTGTATATCGAGAGTGAGACTGTTTTACATTTAATATGTTAAAAGTATTATGTATTTGCATTTTGAAAGTATTTTATGCATTTAATGTATCATATACTCTCTCGTACACTATTAATACACTCAAGAATTTCCTTTTAGTATATTCGTAATAAAATGTCATTATACTACATTGTAACTTACTTGCAACTTCACGAATTTATAATGCAATGAAGTACAACTTCGGGATTATAATTTTGAATTATTATTTTGGTAGTTTATAAAGATAAATGTTTGGCAATTTTGTTAAACCTATGATGAAAATAGATGCACACCTATGCTTTTTCCTAATTCCTTGACAAGGTCAAATAGAAGGTGACTTCACAAAAATAACGTTTAATTCGTGTTACATACTCGGGTTTGTACTGCATCTGCATGCAAAAAACATTTTTTAAAGATGAAATTTTATCAACCGTCATCATTGAAAACGAAATTATTATTCAATTATAGCCGTTGTTTTAAATGGTCCTGATTGGCATTAAACGATAGTTTGCAATTAAAAATAACTAAATACTCGTAATATGACCAAATACATTCTTAAAAGCTCCAAATAAGAATGTGTAAAGGTTTTGAAACAAATTTTACACGTCTTTAAAATGCTAATTAATTAATTATTTCTACATAATATTTTATAGTTTACCCCTTGATAATATTGAGTCACATGAAAAAGTTATTTCTGTGAAAAAAATGCTTTTCCAGTTTTCTTCATAGTTACATTATTAGATTCGTAATAGTTGCTGTATGCTGGGTTTTATATATATTACTTTAAAAATTATGGTTTCATTTATTGTAAAAAGCATAATTGGTGACTNTTTCTGTGAAAAAAATGCTTTTCCAGTTTTCTTCATAGTTACATTATTAGATTCGTAATAGTTGCTGTATGCTGGGTTTTATATATATTACTTTAAAAATTATGGTTTCATTTATTGTAAAAAGAAATATATAAATTGGCATCCTCACCTGAGTCTGCATAAACAATATATAATTTAGAAATAAAAATTCATCAGTCTAGTTCAGTGAAACCGAAATTATAGCTGAATTATAACATTCCCTTTAAATTGTTCGGACCCCTTTACCACAATTTTCTATAAAAATATTTATTTAACACTAATAACTTTACAATTTTCTTCGTGCGAAAAGGATGAAGAATTAACATTATATAGTACTCTTTGTAATACCCAATATAAACAAAATTAAGGAATAATTTGGCGATTTGCTTTATTTTCTTTAGTTTGGCCTGTTTATACAGTCTGGCTACGACCTTGTAGACATTATCTTGTAAATAAAATTTTTTGAAAATAAATGGGCCACATCAATTATATTTTATCATTGTAAGTTTATCTGTTTATATATCTATCTATAACGTTGACAATTCGTATGTTTTTAATTTTTTTTTATGATTTCGTTGCTGTAGTTTATTAATACTTCCTATAAATTTTAAATTGAAAATATAAGCGGTAATGACGATGTGGCATTACGATAAAAACGGAAATGAACGAACTTGTATTGCCCTCAAGTTCTAAGTGCGTATAACAAATTGAATCCAAGTGTAAGCGCCTCAAGTGACGTCAAATATGGGCAAAAACCACGGGCGTAGCTTTAAGATTGAATTCCCTTTTAGTATATTCGTAATAAAATGTCATTGTACTGCATTGTAACTTACTTGCAACTTCACGATTTTATAATGCAATGAGGTAATACTTCGAGATTGTAATTTTGAATTATTATTTTTATAGTTTATAATGATAAATGTTTGACAATTTTGTTAAACCTACGATGAAAATAGATGCACATCTATGCTTTTTCCTAATTCCTTGACAAGGTCAAATAGAACGTGACTTCACAAGAATAACGTTTAATTCGTGTCTGTTCGTGTCACAAGTGTTGGGTGGTCGATGTACTCGGATTCTGTAAATGATGTATGTTAAGTTCAGTATGATGTGAGTACTTATTTTGGTGTTAATATTCAAAACATGCAAAGTAATTTACATTAATTGTTTAATCGACGCTCATATACAATGTTCATTGTTAAACTTTAAAGGAAATGAAACAGTTTAATAAAATGTGAATCATTATTCATTTTGAGGCAGTTTGAAGGTGTATTTTAAAACCTTACAAGAAAACAACGAAGTTTTTCTATACTTTAGAAATAATGACTGAAGAACAACCAGCAACTAAGGCAGAAAATATACTTAAAGGATTCCAAGTGTATCCTTTTTTCAAAAACAACTTAAAGATGAAGTACTTAAACTATAGTACAATGTTTCCTTTAACAACAATCTAGTAATTGGATTTGTCTTCGAGATGCAGATGGAGGTAAAATTTTCTGGCAAGGCTCTGAAGATTTAAGTTTACCTGATGTAGAACATGAAGCCAGAGTTCCTAAGTCTATTTTAAAATGTCGTGCAGTTACAAGGCAGTTTAACTTCAGTTCTAAAGAAGCTATAGAAAAGTTCAGGTTAGAACAGAAAGTTCTTTTTAAAGGCAGGTGTCTTGAAGAATGGTATTTTGAATTCGGTTTTGTTATGCCAGAATCAACAAATACTTGGGAATCCATAATGGAGGCAGCTCCTGAGTCCCAAATGATGCCTGCCTCTGTCCTTAAGTAGGCATTGTCTTGTCAAAATGCTTTGCATGATATTTATATATTTTATGTTTTTAGTGGCAATGTTGTTATAGAAACGAAGTTTTACGACGATGATTTGCTCATCTGTATATCGAGAGTGAGACTGTTTTACATTTAATATGTTAAAAGTATTATGTATTTGCATTTTGAAAGTATTTTATGCATTTAATGTATCATATACTCTCTCGTACACTATTAATACACTCAAATAATTTACTATTATAAGTATTTATTAAATAATATTAAGATCAAATATATTGTATGTATGTAATGCACATTGATTTTTCTTTATTTGTACTCGGCTGTCTCTTAAAAAAGATAAGAGTAAGAATTATAGGGGAAATTACTTTGACAAATATAGTGGCTACAAAATCTACGAAGAAATCCCTGGGGAATAGATTAAAAAAAGAGACCAAAGGAAAGATATATTAGGTGAAACATTAACAGGATGCAGAAAGGTAAAACGAATGGTAGATGCAGTATACATAATAGAGACAATAATACAGGAGGAAGTATAAAGAGGAGGAAGAATATAAATATTCTTTGCAGGCTTAAAGGATAGGAGCATTTTACAAAGTAAAAAGAGGTAAAGTGTGGAACATTATGGAAAAAGCAAGGATAAGCCCAACGCCTACAAGGACAAAAAAATTATCAGACAATTTTGATTGATAATTTATATACCAAAGGGGGAGTAAGACAGCTAATTATTTATCTTTTTAATTTGTATCTTAAGTGCTCTTATTGTTAACAGTATTTTAATTTAATTAACAAATTTGCTGGTACTTAAGTATTAAGACAATTTTATTGAGAGAACACATACCAATTTTGTTCTTTACCAGTACATGGATATTTACTTTAAAAATTATCCGATTAATTAATTTTAAACGAAAATGCAACGATTCACCCCTGAATGTATGTTTTTTTTTCTTATTTCATTTACACTAGAGGTTCCAGATCCGCAACTACAAGTACATACATATATTCGCGCGTTGTAGTAACTTACACGTGAGTTGTGCGACCAATCGTTTGGCACTCTTTTTTAATGAACGTAGAATACCGAGATCTTTAATTTGATATTTGGTACATGTACATGCAACATATGCAAACTACTACCTACTTGCTATTTATAGATTAGCAATAAATATGAAAGATATATGTGAACAATATGTTTATTTGCAGAATTAACAATATAAAACAGTCAAAATGAAATACAGTCCACCTTAAAAAATTACTAATATATATGTAGTCTTAAAACATTCGTAACATGGTGTTGTATATAGGGAAAGTCCAAAACCAGTTTATTATGTAATTTTTTTTAACTGTAATA